TGAACCCAGAACAGGGTCTGAGGAACCAGGTGGAACCAGGTGGAACCAGGTGGAACCAGGTGGAACCAGGTGGAACCAGGTGGAACCAGGAAACTGGAGAGGTGACGTAGAACGTATGACCGGATGCTATGCTAGCGACGCTAGCATTCACTATCATTCACTGTCATTCACTGTCATTCACTCCTATTCACCCCAATTCACTCCCATTCACCCCATTCACTATTGTTCACTCTGATTCTCTCCTATTCACTCTCACTCACTGTCATTCACTCTCATTAATTCTCATTAATTCCCATTCACTCTCATCCACCCCATTCACTATCAATCACCCGCATTCACGCTCATTCACTATCATTCACTCTCATTCACTCTCATTCACTCCTATTCACTACCATTAATTCTCATTCACTCTAACTCACTCTCATTCATTCCCATTCATTTGCATTCACTCTGATTCACCCCAATTCACTATCATCCACCCCATTCACTATCATTAATTCCCATTAATTCTCATTCACTATCATTCACTCCCATTCACTCCCATTCACTCTCATTCACTCCCATTCACTATCATCCACCCCATTCACTCTCATTCACTCTAATCCACCCCATTCACTCTCATTAATTCCCATTCACTCTCATTCACGTGCATTCACTCCCATTCACACCCATTCACTCTCATTCACTCCTATTCACTCTAATCCACCCCATTCACTCCCATTCACTCCCATTCACTCTCATTAATTCCCATTCACTCCCATTCACTCTCATTAATTCCCATTCCCTCTCATCCCCGTGCATTCCCTCCCATTCACCCCCATTCACTCTCATTCACTCCTATTCACTCTAATCCACCCCATTCACTCCCATTCACTCTCATTCACTCTCATTCACTCTGATTCACTCTCATTCACTCTCATTCACTCTCATTCACTATCATTCACTCTCATTCACTCTCATTCACTATCATTCACTCTCATTCACTCTCATTCACTATCATTCACTCTCATTCACTCTCATTCACTCTCATTCACTCTGATTCACTCTCATTCACTCTCATTCACTCCCATTCCCTCCGTTTTTTCTAAACAGCAAAGTCAACCACCCGACTCCAGCCTCGACCGACGTCTGCCGTGCAGCGAACCACTGACCTTCATCATGTCCTCGGCCCCTCCTAGTGGCAGCAGCGGGCGGTGACCGCCGGGCCTCATGACCGACTCCGGTCCCATGTCCAGACGAGGCCTCTTGACCTCGTACTCCATCTCCGATTGGCCGCTGGACTCCGGCAGGTAGATGGGTTCATAGCAGAGGTGCTGCTCTTGTCCCCTGGGACAGGGAGGACAGGGAGGACAGGGAGACAGAGACAGACCGATTAACCTTGGACATTATGAAATAATTATACGTACGAAAGTTTGGGCTGAAAGAAAAAAAAAAAACGCGGATTCTCGTTTTGAAATTGAGATCGGCTAATTCGCTGCTAGCGGGTGTTTAGATCGTACGCTATCGGCTAACGCCCGACATTCCAGTTTTTCCGTCACGCGGATTTTAACCGCCGTCGCCGTCTCGGTCAAACCGATGACTACGACTGACGAAAGATGAAATAAAGATATTTGTTGATATTCTGTTTTTTTGTAATTCGTTAAAACGTTAGCGCGCAGGACGAAAAAAAAAAAAAAACCACAGACCTCGTCTCGACTAGAACCACAGACAGAAAAAGATCAGTTTGTACAAGAGGGAAGGAAAAAAAACCAGAGTCAAGATGGAAGTGGCTTCGGAAAAAAAAAAAAAAAAAAAAAAAACCCGAAAACACGACCATAATTGTCGGTTCGGACCCACAACTGGCTGCCGCGCGAGTTCTTTTGCGCCAAACGACATGGGACGGACGGTGTTCTTCCAACCAGAGCTGGAGACGAGACGAGACATGTCTCCAAACTGACGGAGGTTCATCTTTCGCGGATTCGCGAAAATCGCATTTAAAAAAAAAAAAAAAAAAAAAAAAAAAAAAAACGTATATGTAAAATCTACCGTATACCAGATTCGGATCTGCGAGAGACGTCGCGAGAATGGGACGACGATACGGTTCGATCGGTCCAAAAAATTTCGCAAACCAAATCGGCGACGTCGTGACTCCCTTACGAGCTAGGTCTACGACTGGAACTGCCGATCGCGACGTTTTCTGCAGCCTCGCCAAAAAAAAAAAAAAAAAAACCGGGTCCCCCCACTACTACTACTCAGGCAACCACCTCGGCAGAAGAGTTGCGCCGAGAAACGGCGCCACCTTCTGGAGAGGAGACGTCGAATCAAATTTTCACTGCGCACAAATACGACGTCGCGACTTGCGCGGAAATTCAGTTCTCGCGGCAGGGCCTTGGAACCGATCTGGATCGCCGTAAACCAGGGTACCGCTGTAGTACCGTTGATGACCAGGCGAGGTCACCCCCCCCCCCGGAGCTCGCAGGTCCGACGTACGATGTCGCGGCTGTTCCCGCGACGTAACGGCTTTAAAAATTATTTTAACAACAATTTAAAATGTCAAAAAAAAAAAATTTGTCCGCAACGATCGGAGCGGTTCCCATACGGTAGCGGTTAACGCGCCTGCCTCGGAAGCAGGTGGTCCTGGGTTCGATTCCTGGAGGAAGTACATCACTGGCGCCCACTAGGGGCAGGGCAGAGCAGGACTTGGTTCTTACTGACTTTTTTTTTTCCCCCCAGGGAACCGACTTTTTAGCTGCAGAGGTAGAAACGCCCCGACGACAACGCCGCGTAGAACCGCTGTGCGTGAAAAGGTTAGCGTTAGCGTTAGCGTGAACTCACCTCTCGTTCCCAGGCTGAAACTCTGAAAGCAGCGAGGGTCGACGGCGGTGCGGCTGAGCCAGGTGAGAGCTGTAGTCCCTGGCATGGGGGTGGTAGTCGACCAGCCCCACCTCCTGGAAGACAAGTGCGTTAAACGGGTCGGAAAAACAAAAAAAAAATTCAACGAAATAGTTCCTCGTTTCTAAACTGTCATAGCCCATCAGCTCCACCAGGGGGCGGCTGAGGACAAAGACTCCTACTCCTACAGTTTGGGATTAACTACGTTACAGTTCGGGATTAACTACGTTACAGTTTGGAATTAAGTATGTTACAGTTCAGGATTAACTACGTTACAGTTCGGGATTAACTATGTTACAGTTCGGGATTAGCTACGTTACAGTTTGGGATTAGCTACGTTACAGTTCGGGATTAACTATGTTACAGTTCGGGATTAGCTACGTTACAGTTTGGGATTAAGTACGTTACAGTTCGGGATTAACTACATTACAGTTTGGGATTAGCTCCGTTACAGTTCGGGATTAACTAGGTGACAGTTTGGTATTAGCTACGTTACAGTTTGGGATTAAGTACGTTACAGTTCGGGATTAGCTACGTTACAGTTCGGGATTAAGTACGTTACAGTTCGGGATTAACTACATTACAGTTTGGGATTAGCTCCGTTACAGTTCGGGATTAACTAGGTGACAGTTTGGTATTAGCTACGTTACAGTTTGGGATTAAGTACGTTACAGTTCGGGATTAGCTACGTTACAGTTCGGGATTAACTACGTGACTGTTTGGGATTAGCTACGTTACAGTTCGGGATTAACTACATTATAGTTTGGGATTAACTACGTTTGGGATTAACTACGTTACAGTTCGGGATTAACTACGTTGCAATTCGGAATTAACTACGTTACAGTTCGGGATTAACTATGTTACAGTTCGGGATTAGCTACGTTACAGTTCGGGATTAACTACGTTATATTGTTACAGTTTGGGATTAAGTACGTTACAGTTCGGGATTAACTACGTGACAGTTCAGGATTAGTTACGTTACAGTCCGGGATTAGCTACGTTACAGTTTGGGATTAACTACGTCTGGGATTAACAGCTGAAGGAGGCCCTTACCGTGTGCGCCCGCTGCAGCTGCAGGGGCAGACCGGCGGGGTTGGGCAGGTGCCTGGCGTCCAGGGCGGCGCGGCGGCCCGGCGGCCCTGACTGTGGGTGAGAAGACATGACGGCGCGGCGGCTTCCTCTACGAGCAGGAAGTGAGGGTGGCTGCAGGACGGACGTCAGGCATCATCAGTTGCTCCTCCGAGCCGGAATCCTGCAACGGAGAAAAAGACGGAACGTCACGTCACCGCGGTCGTGGTCGGACAGGACGGTCTCTCTCTCTCTCTCTCTCTCATTTCTGACTGAATGGACCAGCGCTCTCTCTCACTGAGGCCTCACTCAGGGCGACCAAACCAACAACATCGCTGCGAGATCAAAAAAACCACTGTCAGATTAACGGAGCGTCACAGGAAAACACGGATGACGCAACAGAGGCAGATTAGACCTCACCCCCCCTCAACCCCTCCAACCAGGAACTGGGTTGAAATTCCTGACGACATTAGAGCTCATTATGTCATATATACACAGACCAGCAACAGCAACAACAGCAACAACTACTACTACTACAACAACTACAACAACAACTACTACTACTACTCCATCAATAACAAAAACAACAACAATAACAACAACCACAGCAACAACAACAACCACCAGCAACAACACCACCACCAACTACTACTACAACTACTACTACTCTAACAACAACATCAACAACAACAACACCAACAACAACTACACCAAAAACAACAACTACTACTATAACACCAACAACATTACCAACAACACCAACAACAACTACTACTACTACTACTCCAACAACAACAACACCAACAACAACTACTACAACACCAACACCATCAACAACAAAAAGAACTACTACCACTACTACTCTAACAACAACATCAACAACCACAACACCAACAACAACTACACCAACAACAACAAAAACAACAACAACAACTACTACTACTACTTCAACAACAACACCACCAACAACAACAACAAAGACCAACACCAACTCACTTGATGGGTTCGATGCTTCGAGGTACAGGATTAACTATGGGATTAACTACGTTACAGTTTGGGATTAGCTACGTTACAGTTCGGGATTAACTATGTTACAGTTTGGGATTAACTACGTTACAGTTTGGGATTAGCTACGTTACAGTTTGGGATTAGCTATGTAACAGTTCGGGATTGACTACGTTACAGTTCGGGATTAACTACGTTGCAGTTCGGGATTAGCTACGTTACAGTACGGGATTAACTATGTTACAGTTCGGGATTAGCTAAATTACAGTTTGGGATTAACTACGTTGCAGTTCGGGATTAACTACGTTTACAGTTTGGGATTAACTACGTTACAGTTTGGGATTAGCTACGTTACAGTTCGGGATTAACTATGTATCAGTTTGGGATTAACTACGTTACAGTTTGGGATTAGCTCCGTTACAGTTTGGGATTAGCTCCGTTACAGTTCTGGATTAGCTATGTAACAGTTCGGGATTAACTACGTTACACTTCGGGACTAACTACGTTACAGTTTGGGACTAGCTACGTTACAGTTTAGGATTAACTACGTTACAGTTCGGGACTAACTACGTTGCAGTTCGGGATTAGCTAAATTACAGTTTGGGATTAACTACGTTGCAGTTCTGGATTAACTATGTTGCAGTTCGGGATTAACTCCGTTGCAGTTCTGGATTAGCTAAATTACAGTTTGGGATTAACTACGTTGCAGTTCGGGATTAGCTAAATTACAGATTGGGATTAACTACGGACACTTCAGACACTGGGAATTATCATAATAATTTGTACTACATTGATCCCATATTTGGGAAGTTGTCGTTGATATGCCGTTAGCAGGCCACTGTTAGCAGGCCGCCGTTAGCAGGCCGCCGTTAGGAGGGCGCCGTTAGC